TACCCGTCGCGGTGATTGATGTGGTGTCTGCACCACTACATCAAGCTTTAATAGCACAGCCTGTGGGTCGTGTGGGACTAAACCAGCGCCTCTAAAGCCAGCTTGGATATTCTCCTTCGTAATAGACTGCTCAAAAGCAGCCTTAAAGGCTGGCAGGAAGGTCTCCTTACTGATATAGCTGGTGCGGTTGCGTGCCAAGCCTGAGATCGAGTCGCCATACTTGCGCTTCAACGGCGAGAAGCAGGCGACATCAAGGGGCTGCAATAGGTGAGACGAGTGCGCAGGCATGCAGAGAAGAATGATATTCTTCTCCTTGCAAAGATCTTGAAAATCGACGGAGCAGTGGCTCTCATGGCCGTCGATAATGAGCAGTCGATACCCACCCACAGTCTGCCTCTTTGTATAGGTATCAAAGTGCTCTAACCACGCAAGAGCAAGCTGATTATTCGTCCAGCTATTAGGACTAACTTCAAGAACCTAGTTAGTAGGCAGGTCTTTAAACCAGACGTTGATAAGCACCTTGCCCGCAAAGATAACGAAGGGGGGTAGCCGGCGACCTAACGCGCCCACGCCTTGGATCACAGTAACCCACTCACGGATACCTGGCTGGATCCGCTTCTTTTTGCCATATCCCTCTGAGCCTGTGACAACTAACTGTGATAAAATCTTGCCTATCATAAAGCTAGTTTCGTTAAAGTTGTAGATATCGTCGTCCACAATACCCTACTTCTGCTTTGTCGCCTGAACTAAGTCGAACTAGCGCTGGATAGCCGCTGGGTCCTCGCAGGTAGCTCGCTGGTGATTGTAGGGACGGCTCTAGCGCGTGCGGAGCTTAGGAGTCCTCTTAACAAAGTTATTAATCTAGTTCTTGCTAACAGGGTTGCTCCTACGCTTATGTAGTAGTTTATTAGCTATTGCTTGAACGTTAGGCTTTGTAGGCGCAAATCCTCGCGTAGACTCCTCAAGAATACGCTTAACTATAGCCTCCTCTTCCAGCTTATTTAGGCGCTTCGAATTCGCTTCGCAGTCGCGTCAAGAGCGCTTTCTAGCGCGTTAGTTAGATAGGGTTCTTTAAGGCACGTTATAGATAGAGGCAGCACGTCTTTAGCTTTAAACACGTTGTGATTGGATATTAAAAAGAGCAAGCTAAAGATCTAATTTAGGATAGGCTAATAAATGTTGATGTTGTTAAGACATGACGTGTTGCAGTCTCGACGTCGACGCGCTGGTGGGGCGTGAGCGACTCGCTTGGGTGAGCGACTCGCTTGTGAACCACGTTAGTAATAGTACTATAATTATACAGATCTCTTCTTATTATAAGCTAGATCTTTTTACCTCAATCTTACATAATAGACAAAGTATCAAAAAGGTAGTTTTTTTATCTTCGCTATCAGCTTTATAGTGTTATATGAATTATTTATA